AAAAAGGAGATCTAAAGAAATACAGCAAAATGCTAACATCTGTTAAAACTGGATGATGGGTCTGGGCTTCAGCTATATTATTTCCTGTGCTTTTGTATATGATGGATATATTTCACAATTTAAAATTCTGTAGAGAGAGAGTGATTGCCTCATGGTAGGTGCTCAGGAATGTTAGTTTCCCTTCTACTTAGAGCAACATTTTGGTTATTCTTATGTATTTTGTTACACATTTGTTCAGAGATTTTTCTAACACGCTTAGCCTAGAAGGGTTAATTTCCTCACATAAAAGAATCTGAGAGGTAAGCAGTGCAGGGCTGATATGAAAGCCCCATGACATCATCAGGGACCTAGTCATTTTCTGTCTTTCTGCTCTGATTAACTCGCTTCTATCCTCAAGATCCCCCATAGTCCCAAGATGACTGTTGGAACTCTGGCCTTTACATCTTAATTCCAGAAGCAGGAGGGAAGGTTAGAAGAAGGGCTCATCCCCCAGCCTGTTAAGGAAGCTTCCCAGAAATTCCAGCCAACACTTTAGGTTACATCCTGTTGGCAAGAATCTAGTCACATGGTTACATCTTGCTGAAAAGGAGGCTGGAACATGCAGTCTGTTAGCTGGATATATTGCCCAAGATGTGTAACTAAGGAAGAAGAAGAAATTTGATATTGGGTAGCAAGTAGGAGTTTCTGTCAAAAACAAGAACCTAAAAGTTATTGGCCTCTAAATTATAGCATTATTTTCATTTTAACTGAGATTTAGAGATTTGAAAGCATGTGAATCTCTTTCATAAACTTGATACACACTAGATATATTAGAACTCAAAAGTGCTGTCCTCAAATTCAAAGAGGTGTAAATTTGGGGTGCCTCTGTTATTGAATAAACAAAGTTGTATTGTATCTTTTTTCAGAGTGAAAAACATGCTCAAAATGTTAGGTTTTATTTTCAAATGCATGGGGAACAAAATGAAGTGCTTGGTAATAAAATGAAGATGGATGTTAGGACTTCTCAGGTGAGTGGCCTATGTTGATGTCGTAATTCTAAACTTTGAGTTATTGAATCTTTCTAACAAGATTGTGCTTATTTCAGGTGTATAGGAATGAAGTAGTGGACAGAAACAAATTTTGTGATCTCTGCAACATGATTTTTAGCTCCCCAGTTGTTGCTCAGTCTCACTATGTGGGGAAAGTCCATGCTAAAAAACTGAAGCAATTAATGGAGGAGCATGATCAGGTATCTCCTTCAGGATTTCAGCCGGAGATGGGTAAGATTACATTCACCTCTTTAGCTTCAGTACAGGGTCTCTCTATCATTTTTTTCCAACTCTGCTCTCCACTTTTTGTTGGACAGACTTTCACTCCAGGGCAATAACTTGATTCTTCTTCTGCCCGGTTAATCTCTGTATTCTTGTCATTTAATATGGAGATTATAATTGCTAGCTGAATTTTAAGAAATGTTATGACTTCTCCTTTTCAGTTTATTAAATCCAAATAAAAGCAAGTGATTTTCTATGCTGCTATAAAGAAACAACAATAAGCAGCCTGAGCTCTTCAGTTTCTAATCAAATCGTAAAATGTTAGCTGCTTCTTACTTCTTCCCCTTGGCATCTATCTCATTCTTTTTCTGCTTTAGTATTTACCAAAACCTTATCTCGTATGTGTGTTCAGACCAATGTCTTCATCATAATATAGTTACGGTGCAGCATTTACTAACTATAACTGTAAGCAAAAAAATAAGTTATGAAATCTCCTTCTACCTGACAGCTCATTCCTTTCTTCCTATGAATATAAAGAAAAAGTACCACCAGCATCATCAATCAGTAGTTATTGAGTACTTATTTTTTTACGCTAGATCCCAAAGATACAGAGAACTATAACACGTTGCCTCTTTCTTCCTTCCAGTGATGTTGGGCCACCAGCACATGAGAAATCTGACCCAAAGGGCTCACTTCTGGCCTGAGGTGGCAGAGTACACCCTGGAAAATCCAACTTGTATTTTGAAAAGTTTGTGTGCTAGAACAAAAAATAAGATGATTAATCCTCTGGAATAAATAATTTACCACATTCTCACTAGCTTCAATACTTTAGGAATAAGGCATGCCTGGCATGGAAAATTTCCCAACGTTAATTTCCAACACATAGTGTAGACCTCATTCAGCATTAAAACGTATTTTTTTTAAATAAATGAAACCAGAATTATTATTATTATTATTTTTTTGTGTGTGAGGAAGATCAGCCCTGAGCTAACATCCGTTGCCAATCCTCCTCTTTTTGCTGAGGAAGATTGGCCCTGGGCTAACATCCGTGCCCATCTTCCTCTACTTTATATGGGACGCCGCCACAGCATAGCTTGATAAACCGTGCGTCGGTCCACGCCCGGGATCTGAACCTGTGAACCCTGGGCCGCTGAAGTGGAGTGCGTGAAATTAACCACTAGGCAACCGAGCCAGCCCCCATGAACCAGAATTATTTTTAATGTATTCTAGTCTCTCTAATTTTTGTATATTTATTTTTCTCCCTGCCAGTCTAAAGGAGGACAGAATCATTGTGCCTTACAAGAGAAAACATTTTGGAAAACCTTATCTTCCAGTCCCCAAAATTCTTCAGTTTGGGCTTAGAAAGGAGACTAAATGAAAGAGCTCTGAAATAACTGTAATTGTGGAAACATATAATTTTATAGCCTTAAGCAACTGCATAAATTTTATTTTGATACAAACACCACAAATCTGGACTGAATAGATGGCTTACTGTGCTACTCAAGAAAGACAGCAACTTAGAAGTTGGTACCATCTGTTTTACCCTCACTAATTTCAGGAACTGTCCTAGGACACTCGCATGCTTTCGTTGATTTTTTTAAATGAATATAATTAGGCAGTGCCAGATGCTGAACATTCCTTCCTGTATCTTTGTTGGAGAAACTTGGTGACAGACTTGTGTTCAAATTTCCATTCTCACAGAATGAATTTCTTTTTAACCTGAGTACCTTTATCCAACAGGCCTGTGTGGAAAAAGTCCAAAGATAGTGGGTTTTTAAAGAATTCTAAATTTCTCTAATACTTTGTAATGAATGCAACTCTAATAGCTGAACACATGTTGATCACTTCTTATTACGACTATTTCAGCAGGTGTGCCTATTACTACTTCTGCAGAGTCAACTTTTCTGAAGCCCCTTGCTGTCAAGCCTCCTCCAGGTGGGATTAAAGACAAGACTATGCCTTCCTCTTCCAGCACTGCTTTGGATTTGAATAATCCAAACAAGTATTGCAAGCTCTGTCCTGCTTCCTTTAATAGTCCATTAATGGCCCAACAACATTATGTTGGGAAAAAACACAAAAGAAATGAAGCTAGGAAGAAGTTTGTAGACAAGATAAGAGAGAAACCTCTTCCAGCAAAATCAGAGGCAAATGGTAAACAGTAAAAATATCAAAAAACTCTTTCATAGGAAGTCTATATTTTATAAAATATACTGGTTAATGTATATACCATTTTATTCTTATTGAGTAGGGGGTTGATAGTACTCATGGAATCATAGAATTTTAGATAAGTAAGGATTTTAGAGTCCATCTAGTTTTGTCTGTTCGTTTTCTAAGAAGTGAGACCAAGAAAGATTTAGATGACACCTATTAATTACAGAATCAAATATAGGTATTCCCATGGTTCCAAGTTATATCATAGGTACATAAAGAAGTATTTTAAATTAGTATCGTGTGGTTATATCATTCAGTCACTAAGTATGGATAAAGTGTCTCTTGGGTGCCTGGCTAGTCATTCTTGGGAATACAAATGAGGATATGCCATTTTGCCTAAAGGAGCAGCTGTATAAACTTGTTGGGTTAGTAACACTTCATCACAAGAGGCTACAGACATGGATTTTTGTGTACATATTTTTGGTAACCAGAGGAGTGAAACATGGTTCAGAAAAATATTCATAGAGGAAGTATATGATTTAGATTGGTAGAAGTGGGAGGAAGAGAGGATGAACAAAGGAGCTAAGAAAGAGTTGCAAGAATTCAGGCACAGTAAAGATTCTGATCCTGACTGGAGTGATCCACTTGCTCTTCTAACCAGATTTTTTTTTTCATTTTTCCCCCACAGGCACCTTCTCACTACTAGCGTATTTTATTCCCTTTTCATATTCTCTCTTCCACCCACTTCTTTTCCTTCACTCACTGTTATTTTTCAATTCTTTCCTTACTAGACCTTTCTGCTTCATGTGAAAATGTTCATTACTCCTTCCTTCTTGAAGCTCTGTTCTTTGTCATATGTAACTCCTTATGCTCTGGTTCTTCTGCTGTGTTTCTATTTCTTTTCTGTTTTATTTGGGGGCTCTTTTTTTTTAATTCATTACCTAAATGTAGGTGTCCCCATGGTTCAATTCTTGACCTTACTCTACAAACATAATCTAATCTAGTCCCCTGATTTCATCTCTCATCTGTATGCTTATGACCTTTCTGTCAAGCTTTAGACTCATATATCCAAATGGCAGCTACTGCTTCACCTGGATACCTCATAGCCATTTCAAATCCACACAGTCATTCAAAGTGGAAACCTGTAGTTAACTGTGAATCCCCCAACACCAGCGTCTTCACATTCTATATCTAATGAGGCACCAAGCCATGACTATTTTACCTCCTGAATATTACTGTTCCCTTGTCTCCAACCCTGCTCTTCCCACAATAGTCAGACCCTCAACATCTTTCCTAGAGCTTTGCTACTCAAAAGTGTGGCTTGTGGCCAGTATCATCCACATCACTTGGCAGCTTTTTAGAAAAAACAATCTCAGGCCTCACTGTAGACTACTGAATCAGAATCTGCATTTTAACAAGATCCCTAGGTGATTTGTACTCACAATAAGTTTTGAGAAGCATCGTTCTAGAATATTGTCACAACTTGCTAACTACTCTGTCTGCCATCAGTTTTGTCTCCCCAAAACCACCCTCAATTTAATCACTAGAGTGTTTCACCTAAAGTGCATATCTTTCCATGTCATTCCCCTGGTTAAAAATCCTTAATTGTTTCTCTATTTTCTAAGGATAACATCTAAGCTTCATAGCTCTTTGCCATCTTGTCCCTGCCTACCTTCTCCAGGCTTATCCCCTGCTACTTCCTGCTATGATCTATGTAGGTCAGAACCTGCAAACTGCTTATGGTTTCCAGATACCATTGCCCTGTTTTTTGCCTCTGTGCCCTTGTTCATGCTGCCATTTTGCCTGGAACATCTCCATGTCCCTCTTCTCTTGGCTAACTCCTACTCATTCTTTAACATTCTACTTTCCTGGAAGCCTTTTCACTTCCCACAAGGCTTATCTTCTGTGCTTCCTTAACCTGCAAATCTAATTATCTCTCCATGTGTCTTTATCTCCCATTAGAATGTAAGGTCTTTCAGGGAAGGGACTTCATCTAACTCATCTATATTTCCAGTGCTAGAGATAGAAACTGGCACAGAAAAGGCCTACCTCAATAGAGATTAGCTTAATATATGAATTAGCTAACTATTGATCTTTATATATTGATTGCTAACCCTGTATTTGTACTATTTAAGTTTGCTACTGAATGTGATTCAACATATCCCCCAAAGTTACATAGAGATCTATGTTTTTATCTAGGGTTTTAAAGAATATTGATTTAGGCAAGTGTAGAAATAGGAGTGATAGGATTTCTGAAAGTAGTAGATGTTTGGAGAAATGACAGACTTCCACTTGTTGGGGTATTTTTCCTATTGCTGGGCTGAGGTTATCTGGAATAAGTGGCTTCTAGTTTAGTGGCCTTAGGTAAATTGGAACTGATTCAGCTATGAAAAGTGCATGCACTTTGGTCACTTCTGAAAGGAGGGTCATTTTAGCAGTCTGAAGTTTCAAGGTTATTAGAATGAGAGAATGAGGATTTTGGTGAAATTTTCATCTGGCCAGGGAGGGGGGGCTGATCATCAGCGTAATTTAATCCAGTCATTGAAGTCATTTTACACTAGCTTCTGAAGCTAGAGCTCAAAGAATAGATTTTCATCTCTGCCTTGACTATTCCATTTTCAGAACAGTAAACATTTATGAATTAAAAAATAGCTGAAGAATTTAAATTAGCTAATGAGAATTTCAAAGAACAGTAACAGCAGAATTCCATATTATAAGTGAGCAAGTGGTGAAACAAAAACAGTTTAACATGTGCCACTTTATTTCACTCTTCACCCATTTTCTCCCTTCTTTCTGTCTCTGCCTTCTTTTCCATCTGCTATTGTTTATATATGTTTCTACTATATCTAATCTTTTTCTCTTTTTCTTCATCATTCTCACTGCTTTCTTCATGTCCCACATCCAGCCCAGATCTTATTAGCACAGGAATGGCTACCATAACGATATGGAACTAAAGTATGTATGTATTTTTTATTTATTGTATTTGTTTTGTTTATCTTACTAATTTCTAGCCCCATTATTACACTTAGATGTCTTACCTTCACCTGTAACTCAACATATCTAAAATTGAATTAATAATCTTCTCTAAAACCAACTTGAATTTCGCAGTTTTCTGTCTTTGCCGGTAGTACCACTGTTTATTGGTCAGCTACGCTTGAATTTTTGAGGGTATCTTTGACTACTTAATTTCTCTATATCCTATCCATCAGCAAGTCTTATCAAGTATTCTTAGAACTATTTCTCCTTCCTGTACCCTTCCATTACATATTACATTTCCACTACCATCATCTCACACTTCAGTGCTCTAACAAACTTCTGGAAGGCTTTACTTATACCTCATTGTTATTCTCTAACTCCCTAGTAGCAAGATTTCAACCCTGGATCAATTCCACAGCCCACCTTTTCTGCTTTTACATTCATAATAATGAGTGATGCTATGGAAAATTATATAAGGCTAGAGATTGGGTACCTCTACAGAGTCTTGGTATCCAGCCTCTGTGAGCTTTTAGTCCTACTTATCCTTTTCCTTTTCCTTCACTTTCCTCTCAGCAATGATTTTTAAGCCTACATCATGCTCCAAGACTCTCTTCCACTGTTCTATACTCCCCTTCCTCACACCCTTCAGACAAGCGTATTCCTTATTTCATCAAGAAAAATTTGGCCATCAAATGTGAATTACCAAGTACCTTGCCTTAACCAAATCGTCACTTAACCCTGAGTTCCCCTTTAATTACTACACTTTCCCCTTCCCTTCTTAGCCAAGTTTTTTTTTTTTTTTTTTTGGTTGGTTGGTTTTTTGTTTTTTTGTTTTTCAAATACACTCTTACTGTCTTCACTGTTATTCATTCCTCAACTCACTGCCATTTGTTGACACACATCCCCCCAGCCCTCCACACCACCACTCCACCACTTCACTGAAACTATTCTTCACAGGGTCATAGTGACCTCTAAATTTCTAAATTCAATGAACATCTTTACTCCATTCACTAATCATTCTTTTAAAAATATATACTTCCTTAGTTCCTTTGACATCATTCTCTTCTGTTCATCCTTATAACTCTGTCTTTCATTTTGTGACCTTTTCATGGGCCCCTCTTCCTCTATTATCTTAAAGAGTGCCACTATCCAGGGTTTTATCATTATGTTGCTATTCCTATGCCTACCCATACATTGTCTTCAGGAGATCTCATCCACTCTGACAGTTTTAGCTACCCCCATGCTCTGATTTCTCCAAAATCACTGTGACCTATCTTCTGCCTTTCAAACTCTTATATCTAACTGCCTGTTGGACACCTTTACATGGAAATCTCACAAACTCTGTGTGTCCAAACTCAAACTCACCGTTGATTATTCCCCCACCTCCTAAAGCAGCACTTCCTTCTGAAGTTCCAGTTTCAGTTAACAGGATCACCACCCACTCAGTTGCTAAACTAAGATGCTGAGAGTTATTTTAGACTACTCTAGATTCCTCCTCTCTTATCTCGCACATTCAGTCAATCACTAAGTTTTACTAGTTTCAATGCTAAATATTTCACCAATCTCCCTGTTCCTCTCTACCCCTACTGTGACCCTTCTAGCCCATGCCCTCCTTATCTTTTGCCTGGTCTAGTATATTTGCATAAATGTGGTCTCCTTACTTCCAGGCTTGCTCCTCTTAAATTCATCCTCCATATTGCAGCTAGAGGAGAGATTTCTGTAAAACACACAGCTGACCATGTCATTTACTACTTAAACCACTATAACGTTTTCCAATGCAAAAATAAAAAGTCTAGGCTCCTTAGCGTAACATGTAAGTCTCTCTTTGATCTGACACGTTTTTGCATCTCCCAGCTCACCCCCTTGTATTTTATTCTACAAAAATTCCAAATTTTAGGTTCCTATAAACACTTCTGTGCATTTTTCCTGCTAGCTCCTCTGCCTACAATACTCTTCTCAACTCTTTTCATCAAGTTAATTATGTTTCATCCTAAGGCATCATCTCTTCCAGTAGCCCTCTTCAGACCCCCATATTGTGCTAAGTGCCTCTGCTTCTTTGAGCTCCCATACCCCTTAAGCATCTCTCTCTCTCTCTCACCTTTTACCAAGTGAGATTGAAATCCTCTGTTCATGTATCTGTTTCTCACTTGGATTTGTGAGCAACTTGCCCATTTTATTCATCTTGTACCCCCAGCATCTAGCATGATGCTTGGTGCCACATAGTTGCTCATATTTGTTGAACAAGATTATTTGAATTCAACACATCATGCTCATTTCTGTGTCTGCCATACCTAATATTGTTTTCATTCCCTGGAATGCCCTTATCTGCTTTCCTTACAATTCAAATCCTTCTCGTCCTCCAAGGTCCATCACAACTTCCCTTGCTGCTCTAGCTCTTGGTATTCTCCCTTTCCTCTGATTTCTTATAGTCTTTACTGTTCATTGACAATTGCATTAATTATAGCCCCTTCACTGAATTAGCCTCTTGAGATAAGGGATTATATTTTATTCTGCAATATCCTTCTCAGTGCTTTAAATGGTAATGAGTATATAGTTTTTCTCAATTAATATTGCCAATTGTTTATTGAGAGGCAGTATCATGTAGACGGATAAACACAGATTCAGAGAAATGTTTGAAGTCACTTGTCCAGTTGTACTTCAGATTCCTTAGGTATAAAATGAAAATAAAGCTACTTCACAGGATGGAAAAAGGATGAAATGAAGCAGTATATACAGTACCCATCACAGAATAGGTCCTCAACAAATGTTAGTTTTTTAAAAAATGTTTTCTTCTTCTGTCATAATTTTAAAACAGGTAAATTGGACATTTTCTATTTTTCTTTATAAGCTAAATCCTACATTAAGTTGCATTTTTGCTTACATGTAGCTCTCAATTGATTTTCCCCCTTTTAAGATATTAGACAAATGGTTCTCATACTTGACTACATATTAGAATCATTCAGGGAGCTTTTAGAAATCCCAAATCAGTAATCCCAAGGCCATCCATCAAATCAATTAAATTGGAATCCCTGGGACCTACACATTAGTGTTTTCTTTTCTCTTTTTTAACTCCACAAGCGATTACAATATAGAACCAAGATTGAGAACCACAATGTTCGACTATAAAGATATACACTTCCCCAATTTATGCTTTGAAAACAAAGACCTTAGTCTAGGGAATTATGAGATAGGGCTATGATTAGGAGAAGAGTGGGCCCCACAAGTGTTAGGTCATGGAAGGTTCTGAAAGGTACAAGATGCAAAGAAGCTTGAGTTTCTGGGTGAAGTCAGAAACAAGGAATCTTAGCAGGGCTGAGGGCAGCAAAGCTGGACAGGGCCAAGGAGCAGACTCAGATAGGAGAATGGAGAGTGTAAGAAACATAGTGGAGACAAGTTTCAGGAGGACTAGACCAGGAATTTTGATCTTGAGGCCAATAAATAGGCCTCGTATCTTTATAGAAAGGGTTTACACCATTTTTATATATTATTTTCTGAGATGTCTATATTCTAGAATAAGATAAAGAATATCAGTGTATGAAAGAGACAAAGGCTAAGGTAATAGTAATCAGACCACAGTTACAGAACTGCCTCTGGATCTTTCATATGTGCCCTGCAGCTCCTCCAAACCCCTATATTACCTATATTATAATCTTTTGATGTAATTTGTGAAGAAACAAAGGAGGAAATGAGGAGAACATTATATATAATATACTTTTTAAGCATTAAACAAATATGTAAAACCTTTGAAATATAATCAGAGTTTATAATCATAGTGAAGATCATTGGCTCGATAATCTAGGGCAGTGGTACTCAACAATGGCTGCACAGAAAAATCATCTAGAATGCTTTCAAAAAGTAAGAAAGCCTGATTCCACCCCCTAGAGATTCTGATTTAATCAGTCTCATGTGGAGCTGTAACATGAATATTTTTAAAGTTCTTCACATGGTTCTAATGTATAACTAGCTTTGAAAATCATTAATCTAGAGAAAACCAGGACTCCTGCTTAACTTGCATAAGTTGGGTGCCCTCGAAATGTATGGTATTGGCCAAGCGAATCTGAGCCTTAATTTCCACATCTGTTAAATAAGGATAAGGATAGTAATACTTTCCTGAAAAGGGTTGTTGTGAGCATGCAGAGTCCTGGACTTAGTTATTAGCTTTGCAGGAAGTCCAGAATCTTCAGAGTTGATCAGCCTGAAATCACAGACTCACCAAACCACAAACAAACTTGGAAGATGCTGATAAATAACTGAGGAACTGGAAAGATATTCCCTTAGTGTATTTCCCACACATTCTCTGATAATAATCATCAAAGGTATTGTTAAAATACAAATTCCCTGTCCCAGAGGCAGTGAATCATCTTTTCCAGGGGAGGGGCCTGGGGATCTATATTTTTAACCTACACTCCAGGTGATTCTTGTCACAGAAGTCTGGGAAACATTATAGTTTAAGGTAATACATTGTCATTCTGGTATTGATTTATGGTAGGAGGAGATACATATATTTCCAGCTCCCAGGGTTTTTTTTTTTTTTAATATTTGTCATCCAGGGTATCCTTTTTATGGTATCAAAGTATATGGGAAACCAAATTATAATCAGAAAGTGACTTGGTGAGCATGAAATCAGAGCACAAGGAGAGAGGATAGTTTTGAGGAATCATTCATTAAGACTTTGGCATAACCTGTTGAGCTCTCCTGGGCCCACCACAGAGTATATGTCAATAGTGAGCGGAGTCTTCATGTTCTTCAAAGTCAGTATCTTTCTTTCCCCTTGACAAGAGTCTCATGTTTCTATGAATAACCTTTGCTTGGACGAGGCCAATACACTTGGTAATGATTAATTTAGCATCCTTTAAATGATTCAGTTGCTTTTGATTTAAAAGAAGATGACCTTGCTTGACCCTAAAATCTCTGCAGCCACCAATTTATTGCCTCTCTTCCTTAGGGTGGGATAGTTTTACATTTGGCTTATGAAATTTATTAATTTGCTTCTTCCAACCAAAGAGAAAATGGAAGGATGATGAGATTAAGAAAATAAAAATTAATTTATCCCCTGCTTGCAATTCTACCTAAGAAGCAGAATAGAGAGGTAGCTGGTATACCTATTCTATAGCTCTTGACTCTTTTGAAGTGGTAACTAGTAGTTTTGTTTTAGAATTTTGCTTTCAGCTTTTATCCTGAGAGTGGGCCTTACTGAACCTCTCTCCTTTCTAAAATATGTCTGTCGAAATTACTTTTGGTAAACTAATGCACTACAGTGATTTCAGGTAAGAGAGTAAAAAGTTGATTTTATTTGTCTTTAATCGTTTGGGATGTTTCAGGTTTTGATTGGGTGGAAAGAGTATTAGGGGCAAACAAAAAGAGGTTGGTTGAGGGATTAAGAGGCAAAGGTTAGTTGGGCATGCTAAATTTGAAGTGCCTGCTGTACTTCCACATAGCAACAGTAAGCAGGCAGATAGCAGTTTCTTAGGAAAGAGGCCAAGGCTAGAGAAGCAGTGTGGTGTAGTGTAAAGAATTCTGGGCTTTAAATTAAAAGAGATGGGCTCTGAGAGGCTATCTCTATTACTAACTGGCTCCGTGACTTTGACCAAGTCATTTGACCTCTCTGGGCCTTATCTTTAAATTGGGAAAGTTCAAGTAGATGATCTCTAGTAAGTTCCTGTCCAGCTGTGTTATTAGTAATATCCATATTGACCTTCTTAACTTGAACTCTTTCTTTTTCAGCATTTAGTATGAGAACATACGTTTGTCATATTTGTAATATCACCTTTACATCTTTAGAAATGTTCCGGTCTCATATGCAAGGAAGTGAACATCAAATTAGGTAAGTATTTTTTGCCAAAATACTCCTATGACACCAAAGACCAGAGCTTCTATCAAGTACTCTTGCATGTATTTTACAAACTTTCTAGGCATTCATTTCCCTATTAGTTGATCCTGGGTATGGTTGGTGGTATTTGTAACATATTGCATGCTAGTAGCATCCTCCAGGGAGTTCTCTAGCCATGATGGTATACAGGCAGAGCTGGCTAACTGGCACCCCTTCTTACCAGACAGCATTGTCTTTCTTTGGAGCAATGCTAAAGGGTCCTTCTCAGGCTAACCATACAAATTCAAATAATCCCTGGAAGATTGGCCTAATTCCAGGGATTCAGTGATCCAGTCATCATCCTTCCAGTGAGGTACAGTGGTTAAAAACAAAAATCATTTTTTTGTTTTTTTTGGTGAGAAAGATTTGCCCTGAGCTAACATCTGTCGCCAATCTTCCTCTTTTTGCTTGAGGAAGATTCGCCCTGAGCTAACGTCTGTTGCCAGTCTTCCTGTTTTGTATTTGGGCCACTGCCACAGCATGGCCACTGACAAGGATATAGGTCTGCACTCAGGAACCAAACCCAGGCCACTAAAGCAGAGCATGCCCAACTTAACCACTAGGCCACCAGGGCTGGCCCAAGAACAAAAATCTTAGAGAGACCTGGATTGGAATACCAGATTTATCTTTCTACCAAGTGTGTAACTTTGGACAGCTCTGATATAAAGTTGTAATAATGAAATATAAAAATATGTAGTATAGTATAGTATAGGTATAAAGTACCTGGCCCGGCACATAGTAAGAGTTCAATAAATGTTTATTCCATTCTATTCTGTTATTTTAAGGAGGAGAAGATTGAGTGGACAATTGGGGACTGGATAAATCAGATAGCAGGACAGAGGAACACTTAACTATTGTGTATTTGGTTTGTTGCTTTTAAAATCAAAGCATACTATTTCTGTTACATTATTTTATTCTAGTAGGAAATATTTATACTATGGAGTCTGAAAACTTAGGATCTAAATTGTCTGACTCACCAAATTAACTTAACCTTCCTTTTAGACTCTTTTAATATCTCAGAGTTCCCGAATAAATAGCCATCACATTTATATATCTATAGAAGGAACTGACTAATCAAAGCTTTTCTTTAATTGAAGTATAGTTGACATACAATATTATATTAGTTTCAGGTGTACAACATAGTGATTTGACATTTATATACATTACAAAATGATGACCATGGCAAGTCTAGTAACCATCTGTCACCATACAAAGTTATTACAATATTATTGACTATATTCTCTATGCTATATATTACATGCCCATGACTTATTTATTTTATAACTGGAAGTCTGTACCTCTTAATTCCGTTTACCTATTTTGCCCATCCCCCTAGCCCCCTTTCCTCTGGTGACCACCAGTTTCTTCTTTGTATCTGTGAGTTTGTTTCTGTTTTGTTTTATTTGTTTTGTTTTTTAGATTGCACATATAAGTGAAATCATACAGTATTTGTCTTTCTCTGTCTGACTTACTTCACTTAGCATAATACCGTCTAGGTCCATCCATATTGTTGCAAATGGCAAGATTTCATTCTTTTTTATGGCTAAGTAATATTCCACTGTGTGTATATGTGTGTGTGTGTATGTATATACACCACATCTTCTTTATCCATTCATCTGTCGATGGACACTTAGGTTGCTTTCATATCTTGGCTATTGTAAATAATGCTGCAGTATACATAGGGGTGCATATATATTTTCAAATTAGTGTTTTCATTTCTTCAGGTGAATACCCAGAAGTAGAATTGCTGGATTGTATGGTAGTTCTATTTTTAATTTCTTGAAGAATCTTCACACTATTTTCCATAATAGCTGCACCAGTTTACATGCACATCAGCAGTGTACAAGTGTTCCCTTTTACCACATCCTTTCCAACACTTGTTATTTCTTATCTTTTTAGTAATAGCCATTCTGATGGGCATGAGGTCATATCTCACTGTGGTTTTGATTTGCGTTTCCCTAATAATTAGCAGTGTTGAACATCTTTTCATGTGCTTATTGGCCATCTGTATATCTTTGGAAAAATGTCTGTTCAGATCCTCTGCCCATTTTTTAATCAGGTTTTTTTTTATTGTTGTTGAGTTGTATGAGTTCTTTATATAGTTTGGATATTAACCCCTTATTGCATATGTGATTTGCAGATATCTTCTCCCAATCGATAGGTTGTCTTTTCATTTTGTTGATGGTTTCCTTGCTGTATAGAAGCTTTTTAGTTTGATGTAATCTCATTTGTTTATTTTTCTTTTGTTTCCTTTGCCTGAGGAGACATCCAAAAAGATATTGCCAAGACTGAGGTCGAAGAGCATACTGCCTATGTCTTCTTCTAGGAGTTTTATGATTTCAGGTCTTACTTTCAAATTTTTAATCTATTTTGAGTAATTTTTATGTATGGTGTAAGACAGTGGTCTACTTTCATTCTTTTGCATGTGGCTGTTCAGTTTTCCCAACACCGTTTACTGAACACAATTTCCTTTCTACATTGTATGTCCTTAGCTCCTTTGTCGAAAATTAGCTATCCATAAATGTGTGGGTTTATTTCTGGGCTCTCAATTCTGTTCCATTGATCTATGTATCTGTTTTTGTGCCAGTACCATGCTGTTTTGATTACTATAATTTTGTAGTGTATTTTGAAATCAGGGAGTGCGATACCTCCAGCTTTGTTCTTCTTTTTCAAGAGTCACTTTGGCTATTTGAGATCTTTTCTGGTTCCATACAAATTTTAAGATTCTTTATTTTAGTTCTGTGAAAAATGCCATTGGTATTTTGATAGTGATTGCATTGAATCTGTAGATTGCTTTGGGTAGCATGGACATTTTAGCAATATTCTTCCAATCCATGAGCAGGGTGTATCTTTCCATTTATTTGTGTCATCTTCAATTTCTTTCATCAATGTCTTATAGTTTTAAGAGTACAGCTCTTTTACCTCCTTGTTTAAATTTATTCCTAGGTATTTTATTCTTTTTGATGCCATTATAAATGAGATCATTTTCTTAAATTCTCATTCTGATTGTTTGTTATTAGTGTATAGAATTGCAACAGATGTCTGTATATTGATTTTGTATCCTGCAACTTTACTGAATTTATTTATTTTAATTTTTTTTTGGTGGAGCCTTTAGGGTTTTCTAAATATAGTATTATGTAATCTGCAAATAGTGACAGTTTTACTTCTTCTTTTCCAATTTGGATGCCTTTTATTTCTTTTTTCTTGTCTGATTGCTGTGGCTAGGACTTCCAATACTATGTTGAATAAAAGTGGCAAGTGTGAGCATCCTTGTCTTATTCCTGATCTCAGAGGAAATGCTTTCACCTTTTCACCATTGCGTATGATGTTAGCTGTGAGTTTGTCATATATGGCCTTCATTATGTTGAGGTATGTTCCCTCTATACCCACTTTGTTGAGAGTTTTTATCATAAATGTATATTGAATTTTGTTGAATGCTTTTTCTGCATCTATTGAGATCATCATATGATTTTTATCCTTCTTTTTGTTAATTGGGCATCATGTTGATTGATTTGCAGATATTGAACCATCCTTGCATCCCTGGGGTAACTCCCACTTGATCATAGTGTATGATCCTTTTGTATTGTTGAATTTGGTTTGCTAATCTTTTGTTGAAGATTTTTGCATTTATGTTCATCAGAGATATTGGCCTGCAATTTTCTTTTTTTGTATAGTGTCTTTGTCTGGTTTTGATATCAAGGTAATACTGGCCTCATAAAATGAGTTGGGAAGCATTCCTTCCTCTTCAATTTTTTGGAATTGTCTGAGAAGCATAGCTATTAACTATTCTTTAAATGTTTGGTAGAATTCACCTGGTAAGCCGTCTGGTCCTGGACTTTTGTTTGTTGGGAGTTTTTCGATTACTGATTCAATTTCATTACTAGTAATTGGTCTGTTCAGATTTTCTATTTCTTCCTGATTCAGTCTTGGAAGATTATATGTTTCTAGGAATTTATCCATTTCTTCTAGGTTGTCCAACTTGTTGGCGTATAATTGTTTGTAGTAATCTCTTAGGATCCTTTGTATTTATGTGGTGTTGGTTGTAACATCTCCTTCATTTCTGATTTTATTTAGTTGGGCCCTCTCTCTTTTTTTCTTGATGATTCTGGCTAAGCATTTATCTATTTTGTTTATCTCTTCAAATACTAACTCTTAGTTTCATTGATCTTTTCTAGTGTTTGTTTAGTCTCTATTTCATTTATCCACTCTGATCTTTATTATTTCCTTCCTTCTACTAACTTTGGGCTTTGTTTGTTCTTCTTTTTGTAGTTCCTTTAGATGTAAGGTTATATTGTTTATTTGAGATTTTTATTGTTTCCTGAGGTAGGCCTGTATCACTATAAACTTCCCTCTTAGAATTGCTTTTGCTGCATCCCATAGATTTTGGAATGTTGTGTTTCCATTTGCACTTGTCTCAACGTATTTTTTGATTTCCTCTTTGATTTCTTCATTGACTCATTGGTTGTTTAGTAACATGTTGTTTAGCCTCCACGTGTTTGTGTTTTTTCCAGTTTGCTTCTTGTAATTGATTTCTAGTTTCATACTGTTGTGGTCAGAAAAGATGCTTGATATGATTTCAGTCTTCTTAAATTTATTGAGACTTGTTTTGTGGCCTAACAGGTGTTCTATCCTGGAGAATGTTCCATGTGCACTTGAAAATAATGTGTGTTCTGCTGTTTTGGGATGAAATGTTCTGTATATATCTATTAAGTCCATCTGGTCTAATGTGTTGTTTAAGACCAATGTTTCCTTGTTGATTTTCTGTCTGGGAAGATCTACCCACTGATGTAAGTGGGGTGTTAAAGTCCCCTACTATTATTGTATTACTGTCAATTTCTCCCTTTATGTCTGTTAATATTTGTTTTATGTATTTAGGTACTCCTATGTTGGGTGCATAGATATTTACAAGTGTTACATCCTCTTGTTGGATTGATCCTTTTATCATTATTTAATGCCCTTCATTGTCTCTTGTTACAGTCTTTGTTTTAGGGTGTATTTTGTCTGATATAAGTATTGCTACCCCAGCTTTCTTTGTTTCCATTTGCATGTAAAACAGGCATACCTTGGAGATATTGTAGGTTTGGTTCTAGACCACTGCAATTAAGCAAATATTGCAATAAAGCAAGTCACACAAATTTTTTGGTTTCCCAGTGCATATTAAAAGTTATGTTTACACTACACTGTGATCTATTAAGTGTGCAGTAGCATTATGTCTAAAAAAACAATGTACGTTACCTTAATTAAAAAATACTTTATTGCAAGAAAATGCTAACCATCCATCTGAGCCTTCAGCAAGTCATAATCTTTTTGCTGGTGAATGATCTTGCCTCAAGGTTGATGGCTGCTGACTGATCAGAGTGGTGATTAGTGAAAGTTGGGGTGGCTGTGGCAATTTCTTAAAATAAGACAACAATGAAATTTGCCACATCAGTTGACTCTTACTTTCATGAATGATTCTGTAGCATGCGATGCTGTTTGATAACATTTTAGCCACATTAGAACTTCTTTCAAATTGGAGTTAGTTCTCTCAAAACTTGTTACTGCTTTATCAACTAAGTTTATGTAATGTTCTAAATTCCTTTGTTTTCATTTCAACAATCTTCACAGCTTGTTTACCGGGAGTAGATTCCATCTCAAGAAACCACTTTCATTGCCCATCCATAAGAAGCAACTCCTCATCTCTTAAAATTTTATCATGAGATGTCAACAATTCAGTCACATCTTCAGGCTCCACTTCTAATTCTAGTTCTCTTGCTATTTCTACCACATCTGCAGTTACTTCCTCCACTGAAGTCTTGAACCCCTCAAAGTCATCCTTGAGGATTGGGATCAGCTTCTTCCAAACTCCTATTAACGTTGATATTTTGAGCACTTCCCATGAATCATGAATGTTCTTAATGACATCTAGAATGGTGAATCCTTTCCAGAATGTTTTCAATTTACTTTGTCCAGATCTATCAGAGGAATCACTATATATGGCAGCTACAGCCTTACAAAATGTATTTCTTAAGTAAGAAGACTTGAAAGTCAAAATGACTCCTGATCCACGTGCTGCAGAATGGATATTGTGTTTGCAGGCATGACAACAACATTAATATCATTGTACATCTCCATCAGAGCTCTTGGGTGACCAGGTGAATTGTCAATGAGCAGTAAATATTTTGAAAGGAATCTTTTTTTCTGAACAGTAGTCTCAACAGTGGGCTTAAAATAGTCAGTTAACCATATTGTAAACAGACGTGCTGTCATCCAGGCTTTGTTGTTCCATTTATAAAGCACAGACAGAGTAGATTTAGCATATTTCTTAAGGGTCCTAGGAGTTTTGGAATGGTAAATGAGCATTGTCTTCAACTTAAATTCACCAGCTGCATTAGCCCCAACAAGAGAGTCAGCCTATTCTTTGGTGCATTGAAGCCAGGCATTGACTTATCCTCCCTAGGTATGAAAGTCCTAGGTGGCATCTTATTCCAGTATAAGGCTATTTCATCTACACTGAAAATCTGCTGTTTAGTGTAGCCACCTTCATTAATTATCTTAGCTAGACTTTCTGGATAACTTGCTGCAGCTTCTACTTCACTTGCTGCTTCCCCTTGCACCTTTATGTTATAGAGACAGCTTCTTTGCTTAAACCTCATGAACCAACCTCTGCTAGCTTCAAACTTTTCCTCTGCAGCTTCCTCATCTCTCTCAGCCTTCATAGAATTGAATACAGTTAGGGCCTTGCTCTGGATTAGGCTTTAGCACAAGATAATGTTGTGGCTGATTTGATCTTCTATCCAGACCACTAAAACTTTCTCCATGTCAGCAATAAGGCTATTTTGCTTTCTTATCATTCATGTGTTCACTGGAGTAGCACTTTTAATTGCCTGCAAGAACTTTTCCTTTGCATTCACAACTTGGCTGACTGGTGCAAGAGGCCTAGTTCTTAGCTTATCTTGGCGTTTCTTCACTAAGCTTAATAATTTCTAGTTTTTGACTTAAAGTGAGAGATATGCAACTCTTCCTTTCACTTGAAGACTTAGAGGTAATTGTAGGGTTATTAATTGGCCTAATTTAAGTATTGTTGTGTCTCAGGGAATAGGGAGGCCCAAGGAGAGGGAGAGAGACAGGGGAGCAGCCGGTCGGTGGAGTAGTCAGCACACACACACACATTTATCAATTAAGTTTGCCATCATATGGGCGCGATTCGTGGCACCTCAAAACAATTACGGTAGTAACATCAAAGATCACTGATCACAGATCACCATAACAAATACAGTAATAATTAAAAAGTTAGAAATATTGTGAGAATTACCAAAATATGACACAGAGATATGAAGTGAGCAAATGCTGTTGGAAAAATGACATCAATAGACTTCCGTGATGCAGGGTTGCCAGAAATCTTCAATTGGTAAAAAACACTATATGTGGAGTGCAGTAAAGTGAGGCACAATAAAACGCGAGGTATGCCTGTATCTTTTTCCATCCCTTCACTTTCAGTCTCTGTGTGTCTTTAGATATGAAGTGAGTCTCTTGTAGGCAGCATGTAGATGGGTCTTGTGTTTTTTAATCCGTTCAGCCACACTAAGTCTTTTGATTGGAGCATTTAGTCCATTTATATTTAAAATAATTATTGATAAGTATGTACTTACTGCCATTTTGTTAATTGTTTTCTGGTTGTTTTTGTAGTTCTTCTCTGTTCCTTTATTTTTCTCTTGCTCTCCTCCCTTGTGATTTGATGACTTTTTTTAATGTTATGTTTGTATTCCTCTTTATTTTTTTGTGTATCTATTATAGGTTTTTGGTTTGTGGTTACTATGAGGTTCATATATAACGACCTATGTATATAGCAGTCTGTTTGAAGTTGATGGTCGCTTAAGTTTAGGCACATTCTAAAAGCACTACATTTTTACTTACCCTCCTCCATGTTTTATGTTTTCGACCTTATATTTTACATCTTTTTATTTTGTGTATTCCTTAACCAATTATTGTGGATATAGATGATTTTACCACTTTTGTCTTTTAACCTTCAAACTAGGTATATAGATGCTTGATTCACTGCCTTTACTTTATGGTTGCCATTACCAGTGAGACTTTTTTTGTTCATAATTTTCTTATTTGTAGTTATAGCCTTTTCTTTTCTGTTTAAAGAAGTCCTTTTAACATTTCTTGTAAGGCCAGTTTAGTGGTGATGAACTCCTTTCACTTTTGCTTGTCTGGGAAACTCTTTATCTTTCCTTAATTCTGAATGATAACTTTGCTGAGTAGAGTCTTCTTGGTTGTAAGTTTTTCCTTTCAGCACTTTGAATATATTGTGCCACTCCCTTCTGGCCTGTAAAGTTTCTGCTGAAAAATCAGCTGATAGTCTTATGGGGGTTTCCGTGTCCATAACTAGTTGTTTTTGTCTTGCTGCTTTTAAGATTCTCTCTTTAACTTTTGACATTTTAATTATAATGTGTCTTGGTGTGGATCTCTTTGGGTTCATCTTATTTGAGACTGTGTGATTCCTGGACTTGGATGTCTGTTTCCTTCACCAGACTGGGGAAATTTTCAGCCACTATTTCTTCAAATAAATTTTCTGTCCCTTTCTCTCACTCTTCTCCCTCTGGGACCCCTATAATGTGAATGTCAGTATGCTTGATGTTGTCCCAGAGGTCCCTAAAGCTATCTTCATTTTTTTAAAATTCTTTTTTCTTTTTGCTGTTCCAAGTGGGTGATTTACACTACCCTGTCTTCCAGATTGTTGATCCATTCTTCTGCATCATCTGATGTGCTGTTGGTTCTCTCTAGTGTATTTTTCATTTCAGTTATTATATTTTTCAGTTGTGATTGGCTCTTTTTTTATGTTTTCTTTCTCTTTGTTGAAATTCTCACTGTGTTCATCCATTCTTCTCCTAAGTTTGGTGAGCATCTTTATGACCATTACTTTGAACTCTTTATCTGGTAGATTGCTTATCTCCATTTCATTTAGTTCTTTTCTGAGGGTTTATCTTCTTCTTTCATTTGGAATATATCCCTCTGTCTTCTCATTTTGATCCAATCCTGACTAGTCAAAACTTTTAAAACAATGTGACATTCAGGTCAGACCATCTTCAGGGCATTAAATATTATTGATCCTTTCCCACACATCCCACATGCCTTTCATTTTAAGTACTAAAGCAGTATCAGATAGGTCTGCTTCTTTGTACCCATTTTCCCTTTCATCCCAGGCCTGAAAATTTTTGTGTGTAAAAAATTGTGAAGTGCCTGGGAGATAATCTGACTATCCCTGCTGCTGCTTTTTGGCATAAAATGTCATGCTTTATAGCTTTTATATTGAGGTAAGTTTTTAAATTTGTTTGGGCTTTTGTTGTTTTTGTTTTTTCAGACTAAAGTTTTTGAAAGCAAAGAAAATATTCAGAATAAAATAATCTAGTAACAAGAACTTTCTACTGTCTTTTTTGCAGAGAATCTGTTGTTATTAATCTAGTGAAGAATTCAAAGAAGACACAAGACTCTTACCAAGATGAAAGTGCAGATTATATCAAAGTGCAGAAAGCCAGAGCACCAGAGCCCAAGACATGTTTCAGAAAGAGGGAAGAGAGTTTTTTGGAAACCCGTGGGTACAGAGAAGTGGTTGATTTCAGACCCAGACATAGAATGTTTGAAGAAAGGCTCCCATGTGATACTTTCCGGACATACCCAAGATCATACAATATTTCACAAACAGTGGAAAACCAGTTACCTCATTGCTTACCAGCTCATTCAAAGAAGACATATGACTCTTTTCAAGATGAACTGGATGATTACATCAAAGTGCAGAAAGCCAGAGGACTAGATCCAAAGACTTGTTTTAGAAAGATAAGAGAGAATTCTATGGAAACATGTGGGTACAGAGAAGTTGATTCTGGACCCAGACAAAGAATGATTGAGCCAAGATTTTCATTTGATACTTCCCAGACCTACCAACAACCATACAGTATTTCACCAGTGGAAAGCCAGTTACATCATTGGTTACCAGCTCATTCAAAAAGGACATTTGACCCTTTCCAAGATGAACTTGAAGATTACATCAAAGTGCAGAAATCCAGAGGGCTAGCGCCAAAGACTTGTTTCAGAAATATAAATGATAGCTCTATGGAAACCCTTAAGTACAGAGAAATGGTTGATTTCAGACCCAGACATAGAATGTTTGAGCAAAGACTCCCATTTGAGACTTTCCAGACCTACCCAGGATCATACAATATTTCACAAGCAGTGGAAAACCAGTTACCTCATTGCTTACCAGCTCATGACAGCAAACAGAGACTAGACTCTATGACCTACTGTCAATTGACCAGAGACTGTTTCCCAGAAAAACCAGTACCTCTGAGCCTTAGTCAGCAAGAAAATAACTCTGGCCCATACAGTGTAGAATCTGAAGTTTATAAGCACCTCTCATCAGAAAACAGTACCAGTGACCATCAAGCAGGTCATAAACGGAAACATCAGAAGAGAAGAAGGCACCTGGAGGAAGGCGAAGAAAGGCCAGAGAAGGAACAGTCCAAGCATAAAAGGAAAAAGAGTTATGAAGATACAGATCTAGACAAGGACAAGAGCATCCGGCAAAGGAAAAGAGAGGGAGATAAAGTCAGTGTCAGTTCAGGAAAGCTTAAGCATCGAAAAAAGAAAAAAAGCCACGGTGTACCCTCTGAGAAAGAAGAACGTAAACACAGGAAAGAGAAAAAGAAATCTGTTGAAGAAAAGACGGAAGAGGAAATGCTTTGGGATGAGTCTATTCTTGGATTTTGAACTTTTTGTTTTGTTTTCTCGAGGATGAATATTGAAGAAATCAGTTAAGAATATGGATTTAGATAAAGACAGGAACATCCAGTGAAGAAAAGGAGAGGTAGATACAGTCAGTTCAGGAAAGCTTAGTGTTTTCGTAAAAATTGAAATTGAATTGAAAGAAGAAACAAACAAACTTAAGCCTAGCCTCTGAGAAAGAAGAACATAAGAACACAACAAGAACGTAGGAGAAAAGAAACCTGTTGAAGAAAAAACAGAGGAGTCAATGCTTTGGGATGAGTGTGTTCTAGGAATTTGAACTTTTAGTTTTGTTTACCTGAGTATCAGTTGAAGAAATCAGTGAAGAAAATGGATTTAGCAAAAACAAGAGCATCTGATGAAGAAAAAGAAAAGTGGATACAGTCAGTGTCAGTTCAGGAAAGCTTAGTGTTTTGTGTAAAAATTGAAATTGAATTTAAAGAAGAAACAAACAAGCCTAAACCTAGCCTTTGAGAAAGAACAACATAAGAACACAACAAGAACATAAGAGCAAAGAAACTTGTTGAAGAAAAACAGAAGTGTCAATGCTTTGGGATGAGTCTACTTTGGGTTTTGAACTTTTTAGTTTTCTTTCCTTAAGGTTGAATTGGAGAAATAAGTTAAAGGGTTTGGTTTCATGAAATTCATGTTATTTGAATTTTCCTAAGTGGACAGTTACTTTAACCTCTAACAAAAGTCAAGTGAAGTAAAAGTATGCCTTTTCCTCAAGTTACTTTTCCTCATTTTCTTAATAAAAAAAGAAAAATTACATGTTTCTTAAATATAATGTAATTTCCCTTAATGAGGTTGTCTTTACTTCTGTTCATCAAATTGCTGTGATAGTGAATTATTTACCCATGGGAGATAATTTATTTTAAAGGAGAGAATTACCAGGCGTTACAGAATCCATTCCTTGTTTGGGTTCGTGTTAGTGTTGGTGGTATTTTATTGTTGTTGTTGTATGTTTGTTTACGTTTCTTGGTTTTCGCCAAGAAAAATGTATGAAGCAAGTTAGACAGATTTTTTTGTTTGTTAAATCTAATTTGCAGTGTATTTTTGTATTTTCTAGTTCTGAAAGTGGAAAATGAAACAGTCTATAATAAGCTTAGATGATATATAGTTTTAAAAAGCTCTCAAAAAGTACTGATACAAAATCAGTCTATATTCTGGAAATGTTTATATTATATTAAAGTGTTTTAATTTCTACCTATTGTTTTATGTAAATGATCGTTTCCCAGCCAAAGATGATTTTATTTTGGGAGTTTAAGGGGAAATAATTAAACAGTTTGCACCTCTGGGGAGATCACACTGTAAAGTTGTAATAATTTCATTTCTTCCACATCTTGCTTAGTAGAAGCTGATATTCTGACTTGAGTGCAGTTTTAAGATAGAAAAATATGACTAACTAAATACTTCAAACTGAAGAAGGAAGACTTTATAAGTGGCAGAGGACCTTAGGGTGCATTACCTTTAAATTATTTCATCTTGATTATTTTTTTTTTTACTCTGATGCTCACTTTTTTATGATAAGCGCCTCCTGTAAGCATTTGAGCATCACCATGGTATAGTAGAAAGAGTAATAGCCTGGGAATCCAAATCCCAGGATTCTGGTCTCAGTTGTACTGTCAAATTGCTGTGTGACCCTGTGGGAATATCGTCAGAGTCCAACATGCAGTCATCAGGAATAGGAAAAACAGGACACAGTATTCCCTTGATATGTTAGTCATATCAAAAAAGTAAATAAATTTAGATGGTGATGTATCTGCACTTAGACAAGGCATTTAATAGTTGTTTTTTCTTGAGATTTGAATAAAATGGTAAATGTGAGCAGAAGCATAATATGATTGGTTGGGTTTATAGCCTGTTGAAGGAATAGTCCAGAAGGGAGTTAGCTGGTCCCCAAATTAACTTTTCTTCCACGTCACTGTTGGTATAAGATTATTTGGTACAACAATATCATTTCCCCTCTTTTTAACGCATCTGGTGTACTGATGAAAGGAGAGGGGAAAGAAGAACCAGAATAGAGCAAATAGACTGTCAATTAGCCACAAAAATGGCAAATTATCTTTTCTGAACACATCACAAAAAAAATGCAGCATTTTTTTCACAGAAAGTGCAAGACAAGATAATTGAATTGTAAGCATTTTTAGAATTGGTAAATTCTTCTGCAGAAGTCCATTTTGTGTTTAAAGCAGGTGAGTAGGAGCTCAAAACTGTATGTCATAAGATTATACATTAAGATAGCAAATCACTGTGATCTTTTAAAAATAAAAAGATCAATGATTCATTAAAATTAGCCACACAAAATTTTAGTCAACCCTGGGTAAATCATACAAATTTTAAACATTAAAACCATTTAAATTGGGTGGTGTGGCAAGTTGGAGAAAAGATGCGAGTGTGGTGTTGGCTATATTCTTGGGTAAGTCACCAGTGACTTGCTCTAGAAAGTGGTCTTGCAAAATTTTAGGACAAAAACTTTTTTGCCAAAAATAAACTTTATGTTAACCCCACCATCAAATAAACTTTATGTTAACCAGAAAGCATTATTTTCTGGTTGAAGCTGGGAACAAGGACCTGAAGCCTGACTTTGGCACATTTGCTTTGCTCTCAACTTGTGCCTCTGAGCACTTGGAGGTAAGGATATAAGTCAAAGTATTTAAATATACAGGATCGAAAATGTTCTCCACCTCTGGAGTTCATTGCTAAATCCAGGAAGATGAAATTAATAGTAAAGATATTAAATCCTGCATTTGGTTATGAAAGATAGTACAAAAACATTTGAAGAGACATACTTTAAGATATTACACGTGAAAACAATGTTGGGATTTTTATTACATGCTTGGTTTGAAAGACGAATACATTCATCCAGACATAAGATCACATGAACTAAGGCAAATTATCAAAGTCAGTATTCAGACAAATAAATTAATAACACCTAGCTTCATAGGTATATCCTCAACTGAATAGAGAAGAGAGGCAAATTTTGGCTGAATTTGGAAAATAATTTTCAATAATAGGGGCTATAGAAAAATGGAATTCATTGCCTTGTTATATGCATGCACCGAACAAATAGTAAGACCTGACTGTCAGCATTGTGCCAGGAAGGAACTTGAGAAAAAAATGAAGAACATAGGCTCTGTTCCACAAACAGCTCACAGTCTAAGAGAGATAATGGACCAGTAAATAGGGAATTGCAATATAAATTTGAGAGGCTACAATAGGAGTGATAGAGGATGCCACGGGTAGCAAATGTAACAAGCTTAATGGAATGGGAAGTGGGCCTTCAGGAAAGGCTTCCCAAAGGAAGTGACATCTAAGCAGACCTTTTTTTCTCAGTTCAACGACTTATTTCTTTGATATATCCAGTTGGCTATTTAAGTACTTCAAACAACATAGCCAAATAGAGTGCCTGCTTCTGCCATTACCAATCATTCATCTCCCATTTTCCCCTCTTTCCGTAAAACTTCCAATTGCTCAAGCCAAAAACTATTTCTGAGCACCTCTTCTCTCCTACATTAGACCATAAGCAATTCCCCTTGATCACATCAGCAAAATATCTCTTTTAATGTCCAATTCTCTTCATCTTCACTGCCACGACTCTAAATCTGAGATATCATTATTTCTTGATTATACTGGGAAAATAGATTTGAGAGCAACTGAAACATTGGAAGAAGTCATCATAGGTTCTCAATTATGGGTGAGTGGAAAAAACTGCACAGAATCAGCAAGAGATCAGAGAGTGCCGTGGTGAACTATGACCTTGAGGATTTCAGAACTATCCAGCATATAGTTTTCTTTCAGAAGAACAAACCCACATACAAAAAGAAAACTGCTAGTTTCAGAAATCAAATTGAACAGGGCAGAAACATTGTGGGTAAGGAGAAGAGAAAGTTCAAATGGTAGTGAATGGGGGAAGAATCCAGAGAAAGCAGATCCTGGGAAGTATTATGACAGCAAAATAAACGAAAAGTGAGACCTGTAGGATGTGAACACACCAGAAAAATGCAGACGAAGTAAATGGAAACTCTAAGTTTTCCATTTTGAAATACTCTGAGTATTTCAATATGAGCTGAAAGAGCTTTGAAACACAGCATAAATCAGAAAAATAACCCAAAAATAGACAACAGAAGAATGTGAAACAAAAACTGACAGAAGTAAGGAAATAATTATAAAAAGGAACAATTCATAAATGAAGATCAAATTGGAAGGAATACAAGAGAGAAGAGACACTACGGTACAGATAGGGAAATAAAAAAAGGAAAATGATAAGTTTTTAAAAAATATATAGATTGACATAATAAATAAAAGTCATCAGCAATACAGTTAAATTTGTTGTAATTGATGCTGTTTTGCACTGCCCAGAACTGCCCTGCACCCCTGCCATACCTTTTCAGGACAGAGGTACTCATTTCCCTAACTTCTGGGGAATTGGTCTCATCTGAAGGGAACTGCCTCTCCTAAGGTTATGCCCTCTCCTGGAGGTAGTCCACATCTGTTGATGGGATAATGTAGGTATACAAAGGCCAGGCCTTCTGTTTCAATTTTGGGCAACTCTGAAAGGCCATCCTAGTTCCAGATCTCCCCATGGAATTAGCTGAAGTTTTTGTTGTAACTGTATCACAGTTCAATTTCTCTGCTAATCTTGCTTCCCTCAGTACCTCACAAATGGTGTTCTTTTGAACATGCCCCTATAAATTACCTACAAACAGATCTCCAGAACCTTACCTAAGACAGGTGATACCAGGAGTAGACCTAGGGAACAGACTCCAAAAATGGGATTTGGGGAGCAGGCAATGAGGATGCTTTCATTGGTAGTTGGTAAAATACTGGTAGTGGGTAGTCCCTGGCATGCTATAGCAGTACAACTGTTAAAACTTTCACCAGTGATAGTAGTGGAAAGGAATGTATGTGCAAGTGTAATATCTCAAGCAGTTGAGAGTAATGGGGGATATAACAATTGTGTGAAATCTGCTGACTCTTGCTGAGTGCCATTGATGCTTTGGAGAAAGAAAATGAAAGGCTAAGAGAATTAATTACCAATTTAAGGCAAAATATAAAAATCAGAAGGCATCCTTGGCAGCATATAAAGGGACTTCCATCTCTTCATCTTGAAATCCCACCTGCCCCTGAACCCTCTGAACTTGAAAAGGTGGACCAATTCTAGGATTGCCAGATAAAATACAGAATGCCCAGTTAAATTTTAATTTCAGAAAAAGAGCTAATTTTGAGTATAAATATGTCCAATGCAATATTTGGGACACACTTATACAAAATTTCATTGTTTATCTGAAATTCAAAGGCTAGATGATTATTAGACTAGGCTGTTCAGGGAGCTTTGAAGCATTACATGGGTTTAATATCAACCTCACTCTCATTTCTCACTCATAACTTCACTCATTTTTTTCCGACCTTACTTTATCAATAATTTCATCATATTTTAAAAACAATCTTGTCATGAAGCCCCTAGCTTTGTAAGCTGCCTTGACATTTTTTGAAATGAAGCCTGATGTAAACAAACAAACAAATTGCACAAAAATTATATGTGGAATTGGATCTGGGAATTAAAATTTTTGTGGTTTCTTTTTTTTTACTAGAGAGATTTGGTAGGGAAAGTGTGCCTTTAAGGAAGCTGAAGGAATAAATAAAAGTCACAAATTCCTTGCACTGACACAGTTTTCGGGCTAGTGCTTTGTGGGTAGGCATTATCCCATCAACTAAGATTTACAAATGGTGGATATATAAATTGATAATGATACTGCCTCAGATTGATTAAGTTCGAGTTTCTAAAATATTTTCACATGTCACTTTCATTATCCCCAGTTCACAGAGATGAACAAAGTAAGGTTTTGAGTGATGTGCCCCAAATCACACAACTCCCTACCTACATGTAGTTAACATCTGCATATCCATTTTAGTGTATCTAATTTGTCAAATATCATATCATCTGAGGAAGAAGGTACCACTCTGCAAGAGTGGAATGCCATCATCCACTAAAGATATTCCCTCACCAAAAACAGATGCCAATGCCCAAAGTATCTGAAAAGAGAAGGGGAATTGTCACTCTTCCTAAACTTCACTTCTCCCAAAAGAAATGAGACTTTCAATTCCATCAAAAAGGTTTAAATACTGTGGGACAAAGAGTGTCCTTTGTGAGAATGCAAACACTCTTCAAGGGGTAATTTCTTCAGCCATTACAAGCCACTAATT